CACCCAACTCTCAATCTCTGTCTTTGGAATAAAGCTTACAAGGACAAAAGTAATCTCCTCTGGGGAGAAGCGTTACAGCAGTCAGTACTGGATCCTCCATGTGCTCTATATGGACCTGAAAGCATCTCTGGGCCTTCACTGAATAACCAAGGGGAAAGAAGGAGCAGCTACAAAAATGGAAAAAAAAAATCCCTAAACTGTAACCCAGGACACTCAATGGCATGGAATGAATGCTATGTTGAACCACAATCTAAAGGCAGCAGACGTTGTCCAGCTCACGGCCAGCAGTGGAGCAGCTTGGGCTGGTGAGTGGCTCCAGAACAGGTGACCATGTGGGTAAAGCAACCCAGCTTAAAACAAAATAGAGGTATAGCAAGGAAGCGTGCGGCCCTTGGGCCCTTTCCACAGGGAAGGCTCAGGCTGGACAGGGCAGAAAGGCTGGAACCCTCCCTGCTTGTACCTGAGAGCTTCTGGACTCCCAGGAGGATCTGTGGTGGTTCTTGTAGCAAGAAGTAGAAGACACACAGAAATTGCCAGTTCCAGCCAAGTTTCACCAGGGAAGCAGCTGCTGATTTTCATTAGTTCTTGCACAGTGGACCCAACTGTAGCAACAGTGCTATTTGTGCCCTCTACTAGCCCAGGGAATAAGGGTAGAACACCGTTCACAAGGGCTGAGGGTGCACAGGGAATAGATTCTCACACAACAAAAGAAGTTCATGTACATACTTCCTCCCATCCAAGAAACTTGTGATTCCATGAAGTTTTTCACCTTTCATATCAAAGAAAGTTGACTGACAACTAAAAAAATAAGCAAGGCCTGGGAGTATAAGCAAGAGTATTAAAGTGATGACAAAGGCGTTCCAGACCAGTGACTACAAGGAGTCTTGAACAAGCAAAGCTTCTAGGACTCTTCTGAAGGACTGTAACAGCAACAACAAAAGCATTCAAGAAACGCAGAACTCACAAGGCAACAGGTGATTTTATGATTCTATGAAAACATGATATGGGTCGTATTCATAAACATGTAAGAAAATGCATTTCAGATTAATTTATGTTACCATTATGTACAAATTATGTTTGTACTTTAGGATTTTCCTGCACGTTGCCACTTTTGTGGCTCTACCTACCTGGCAGGACAGCCGCATCGAAAGCAGCAGCAGATTTACACTAAAAACAGAGGCTGCTACAAGTGATGGCCCTGCAGTCTGAAACACTTCCAAAAACACCTACTTCAGCTTAATTTTAAAATGAGATAGTAATAGAAACCTGAAAAAACTTGATGTGCTTTATCGCTCCCTTGCATCCCAGGGTTCTGAGTGAGCTGGCTGATGTGGTTGCTGAGCAGCTCGCCTTCATGTTTGAAACGTTGTGGCTGTCAGGTGAGGTCCTTGGGGAACATCACTCCAATTTTTAGGGAAGAGAGAAAGGAAGACCTGGGGAAGGATAGGTGAACCTCACCTCTGCGCCTGGGAAGATCACAGAGCAGATCCTCCTGGAAGAGATGTTAAGGCACATGAGGGATGAGTGGGTAATGAGAGACAGATAGCATGGCTTCACCAAGGGCAGAGCGTGTCTGACCTGTCTGTGGCTTTCTGTGATGGAGTGATGGCACTGATGGATGAAGGAAGGGCAGCTGATGTCATCTACCTGAACATGTGAGAAGCCTTTGGCACAGACCTGCCTCACATCCTTATCTCTAAATTGGAGGTAGACTATTCAGTTGATAAGGAATTGGTTGAAAGGTCACAGCCAGAGGACTGTGGTCAATGGCCCTATGCCCAGGTGGAGGCTGGTGACAAGCGGTGTCCGTCAGGGGTCCTTTTTGGGGCTGGTGCTCTTTAACACCCTTATCAGTGACACAGGTGATGGGATCAAGTGCACCCTCAGCAATTTTGCAGATGAGAGGTGCAGCTGTGACAGAAGGAAGTGATGCCATCCAGGGGGACATGGGCAGGCTTCCCATTTCCCTTTCTGTCCTCATCCCTCCTCTGCCCCCACATCCCCCCTGCTTGTCTGTGCTGACAGCCAACCTCAGCTGTCAGAAGGGAACACCTGGAGAATCCAAGGGGAAGTTTCCCGGCAGGTTGCTAACACCAGCTGCTGCTGGGAGGATAGAAGGCCCAGCCAGGCCCTCAGGGAGAGGCTGAAACCCAAGATGCACTTTGGATGACTGGCACCTTATTGCCTCTGCCCAGCAAGAGGCCCACTTGCGAGAACGTGAGGCTTATTGTTTCAAGGAACACGGAAGCAAAAAGGGCTCCTCAGCTTGTTCTGGGAACAGAGGTGAAATGATAGGGACGGGGAGGGGGAAAAGAGTCACCCGTGTGGAGTCAGAGGGGGAACAGGGACACAGAGAACAGGTGCTGGGACAAAACCACTTGCCTGCTCCAACCCAGGTGAATGCAATTGGCCCTGTTTCCCTGCAGTGCCACAGGCAGAAAGAGGAGCACTGCATGCTGGTGTGGCCCAGAGCCCAAGGGTCTTTAAGGAAGCAGGAAAAGAGATTTGAGTCATTTCAGCTAGTAAAAGGAACAAAGCCCAGCTTTCCCCTGGGGTGAGTCAGCATCACTCAGCACCTGGGGAAAAAGGACTCAGTCTCTGAACTTCACCATCCCACAGCATGGTGAGAGGAAATGAGTGAAACGCTGAGGTCCAACTGGATTCCAGGCTCTGGGTCTTGGCCTGAGCCTGTGCAAAGCCACAAACCACGGGAAACTTAGAAATGAGCAGAACTTAAACTAAATCTGTCTTGCGCCACTTCCCCTTAGACAGCGATGCCCAGCTCCTCGCTCAGGCGCTTTGCAGCCACGTTGGCTTGTATTGATCCAAGGTGTTTCCACTGTGCCTCCACCCTGGGGATGAGGTACGAGGAGCTGACTCTCACCAGTACTCCCTGCTGTGCCCCCAACGGGCGGGGACTGCCAGGTTTTCACCGTTCAATTTTTCAGCTGATTAAGAGTGCCTGCCCCGATAAGCATTTCCTTGCATCACCTGCTCCGGCTGGTGACGGAATGGGCGCTTCTGCTGCCACTGCCCACACTGCAGGGAGTCAGGGGACAATTTCCCCAGCAGTAAGTGGGGGAATTGCGTCTACATTATGAAAGTCCCGACTGCTGTTAGTAGAGCTGCTTACATCAGAAGAACTTAGAAAAAAGGGAAGTTCCTGGCATCTGTTCCATGTGGGCATCTGTGGCAGTTCAGGGCACAGCACTTGGCATTTTCCATAGTAGAACCACTGAAAATGTGTTGTAAAACAGAAATCACTCTGAAGTTCAGATAACCAATGATGTTTCAGAGAGTTAAGGTGGGGGATTTGAGTAAGATTCTACAGCAGCTTTCAAAAGAAAAGCTAAAAGTTCATGATAGGCATTGCATCGACAGGTAGCAAGATCCTCCCTCAAAGTCCTTCTGCTATAAGAGAAGCTAAACTTTGAGTCTACAGAATATCCTGAAACAAGATGGAAGAAAGCACAGGTCCACAACCACTCCCAGTTATTGTTGGGATCACCAATTACATCTGGTAATTACAAACCTACTTGGTGCTGTTACACAGCAGTTCAGCCACAATGATGCTGTTCATGTCCTGGAGGTGTTTGTTAATCTCCAGGTGAAAGATTCACCAGGTCTTAGCAGAGCCTGTGCAGAAAACCCTTCAGAACACACTTGATATTGTAGCTTAGCTGCTACATGGGAGCAGCATAAGAATGTCAGCAGTAATGATGTTTTAAGTCTTTTTTTTGTCTGTGCTCCTATATCCTGTCTCCTACTGACCTCTTGCAAATGAAGGGGGAAAATAATAACTGTTAGGAGGCCATGCAGCCCTCTACCGGCCCGCACCAGCACTGCTGGAAGGCAGAGAGAGACCAACCGACCTGGCTGCTGGGGGGCAGAGCACAGCTCTGCTCTAATACTCGGTATTAAAAAGGGAGCACCAAAGTGCCATGGGTGGAAATGGTGTGGGAGGACCTGCAGTGAAAGTGTGTTACCACCACCTTTCCATAGAAAATTGATACAAGTGCTGAAAGTATTTAAAAGAGTCGTTTTTCTTTTCCAGCAAAAGCTTTGCCTCTGTAGCACTGACTCCATCTAACGTCATGCCAATAAGACATGGACACTGACAGACAAATCTTTTGGATAAAACCAGAGTGTCTTCCCATCATTTCATATCGCCAGAAAGGGAATGGGAAAGATGCTCCCAACATGTTGACCTCAAGACATATTTCATAGAAAAGATGAAACCAATGCTGCAGTACCTTTATGTCCACATGTGTAAAGGTAAGCCAAAACGTCAGCCTGACAACAGACAGAAGGAATTGCTGGAAAGGATGAGGAAGGAACCAAGAATGGAGCTTTTCTCCATTTGTCCCTTCCCAACACCTCTAAACCACCCGCACCTCCCCGACACCTGCATTTTGACCAGAACAAGCTGTTCCATTGCTCTGTGACTCAGCAGGAGTTTTACGATGTGAAATGCACTTCTGTTACAACAGAAAACAAGGCTGGCTAGCGAGCTCTATTGATTTCGTGCTGGAGTCAGCAGGACAGAGGAAGGGAAGGCAAGGCCGAGGCCTGATACATAACCTGGGGAGAGAGTTCCTACACATACAAGCTGCCTGTGTTCAGTTACAGACACGGCCGGCTCTTGGGGCTGGCCCAGGTGGTGCTGGCTGCTAATGCCACTGCTGCCATTGGCTCAGAGCACACAGACCAAGGGTGGCAGCAGGGCAAAGCACCGCCAAGGCAGCGGCTCCTCTTCCAAGCCAAGTGGCACAGAGGTTTTGTCCCCACATCCCTGCTGACCTGGCTCCACAGTGAGGCCATCACTGGCCAACTCCACCTGTGTTCAAGAGCTGTGTATAGAATCACAGAAGGGTTTGGGTTGGAAGGGACCTTTCGGATCAACTAGGGGCATGGGTTAGTGGGAGATACTGGTGGTGATTGGACTGGATGATCTTGGAGGTCTTTTCCACCCTTGGTGATTCTATGATTTCCTTTCTCACCTCTGTGAGCAATTGTAAACAAATAGAGAAATCGTCTCCAAGCACACTCTTGTTCCACGTGCTGCACTGCAGTGGTTACCCCTTCCCCAGGCATTTTCTGCTCCATACAAACAGTATAGCTCAGCTCTGCATGAAGGAAACAAACACAGGGCGTGATGCTTCTCCTTCACTGACTAGACAAAGTCACAAACTCCTCTCGCTGAGATCAGTTACCCTCACTGTATTTAGCACATGTGAGCACTGGGCTCATGTATTAACCTTCTGTGCCACAAAACCTAGTGCCACCTCCCAAAGGGGTATGTTTTCCCTGACCTTGTCAGCTTGTGTGAGCTGACAAGCTCCACAAACAAACCAAGAAATCAAGGTAACGTGAATCTTCTCATGCTGGCCACCGAAGCCTAAACAGCTTTCCACAATTAAAGCAAAGCTTGAGGTTATTGGCCACATACTTCCAGTAATGCGCTTTGCAAACACTGGCTCTGCTGTACTGTCGGAGCAGCTGCAGCTGGCTGTGGTTTACAAAGAGCAGTGTGCTCTGCACGCCACTCAGTGCACGCATTGTGCAATACCTTGTTTAGGATGCGTTTTCCTGGAGTTGAGACTGCAGCACTGGACGTGGCTGGGCTCATAACCAGCCTGCAGTGCTCCTGCAAACCGCACAGCTTTGGGTCTGTACCTGTAATCCTGCTAGGGCAGCACTGGGGAGGAGGTCAGCAGCGTGCTGGCCCACACTACCATTAAAACTTCCTCAATTTGCTCCTAACATAGGGAAGGCCTCAACCAAAGGATTCCTGGCACAGCACCACCAGAGGGTGTTTCAGAGAAATAGCTGCGTCCAGGTGCACTGCGCACTGAAACATTTTAATAAATGTTTAATAAATCATTTTGCCAGGCTGGCCTGGAGAAACACACACAGAAATAAGAGCCAAGCAAATAGCAGATCACAGCCGACTTCTGCCACCACAGATTCACAGCTATTGGAGTTAGAGGGGGTGATTAGAATCTTTTTGTCTAATCTTTGGTCAGGGATCACAGGAGAGGCTGAGATCAGCAGCTGTTCAGAAAGGATTACAAAAATTTGGAAAAGAACCCCAAATGCAAGATCCGGCTTGCAATCTGCAAAGCACATACCTGTGCTGCAGGCACTTGTGGGCTCACGTGTATCCTCCAGCCTTGGAAATACAAGCTACCACCTCCAAAGCAGACTTGCTGTAAAAGCAGCAAATGGTTCTAACTTCAGACACTCACCCATTGGGCTGCACGAACACAACAGCAGGGTCAAGACTCAAATTTCATAGTGGTTTTTTTCCCCCCCCTTCAAGTATCTTGTTTAAAGCAGCCGTCAATCACGAGCACAAATGCCTCCTTACAGCCCGCTTGTGCTGGGCCAAAGATAACGGCGGCATCGGGTCCCAGCGCTTCACACCACAGCACTCACCGATATGGGACATGGGGATGGGGTAGCTGCGCTTGGCCGGCGCGTTGTAGATCACAGCTGCCGTCGCACCCCTCCTGGCTGCCACCTTGATCTTTTCAGCAAAAGTGCAATTGCCTCTTTCAATCAGCGCGATCCACGGCGGTTCCGTGATGGTGAACTGGGTGTTCCAGTCGCAGGCTTGAAGACTGGCAGCTTTGGGAATGGCCACGAAGCCCTGAGCACTCAGCAGAGGAGAGTTTAACCCGTACAGGCCGCACTCGCACTGCTCGGACGCAGACCTGTTGCTGGTGCTGTTGAAGTAGAGCAAACTGACGAAGGCGCGCTCAGCAGTGGTGTCTGTAGTCCTGAACAGAACACCAGCGATCACCAGGAAGCAGGTGGCACCCAACGTGTTCCCTCGCTTCATCGCTTACTCGTCTGTGCTCAGAACGCAGAAGTCTATGGATATTCTCAGCCGGCGGTGGCCATAGTTAGCCCACAGCCTGCTGGTTAGTTTGAAATTTCAGTGCTGGCAGGAATCCGACACCACCCACACAGCTCCTCAGTGCGTCAACACACTTATCTCGAGTGGGGGCTGGGAGGAGCGCAAGGCACACCTGCCTATTGTGATGCAGACACACAGAACACAGGAACCTCCAAGCAACCCTCAGCTCTAACTTGCTGCTCTTCTCTCAGGAAGCGGATCTCCTCTCAGATCCCTCCTTTCTGGCTGAATTTGGGCTGTGATGCTGTTTACTAAGAGATTGCTTAAGCCTGCTGCTCTGCTCCAGGAAGTCTCACATTTCAACCTGAATGTCACTCCTGAAGGACCAGATCATCTTTCATTGCGTGATGTGTGCTCACCTCACAACGCGATGTGCCATGTAAACCACCTCACTGAAAAGGTCAGACGTGGAGGCAAACATTCTTAAAACAAACAGACTGTTTCAGTCTGCCCACCCTAGCTCACTTTCAAGATTCTCAATGACATGTCCGAACAATTCTCACTCTCCATTCTGGACATAGATTCTTCCTTTAAATTCAGAGTTGTATTTTATAACGATGAATAGCAAAGCTCCTCTGTTAGTAAGGTGTTCATTTTGGTCTGCTGCAGTGCCACAATACGTGGCACATACGTTTTGATGGAAGCTTAACCTTGTTCTCCTGTAAAGACTCTGAAAGAATCACCATGACTGAATTCCTGCAACAGCTTTCAGAAGCAAAGTTAAAAAATCAAGAGGAAGAATCCAAGACGTTTATTGATATTATTTTATTTATATTACCGAGTTTTCAGTGTTACACTATTGCTACAACACATAGAATTGACCTCTAAGATAATATGACTTAGGTTTACACACTCAAAAGTACCATTAGCTATATGCTCAGTTTACCTTCATCTGGTTTATTTTTTGATTTAATGCTGGAAACACAAGAAACATGGAAATGTAAGGTTTTAGAGTACAGTTCTTTGGCTGGATATGAATTATACAGTTACAGAATGTAACCTGGTGATACACTCCTCTCAGCAGTGGCAATGTACAGCAGCAAGAAAGAGGATTCCTATGACATATTTTGCAGGAGTAAAGACACTGTATCCTGGTTTCACACAGCTAAATTAATGTGTTTTGATAGACTCAGGATCAAAATCACTTTGGTTGCATAATTCAGTCAATAAACTCCAAGTTTAAAAACAGCGAGTAGTTTCTTTGCAGAGAGGGCCTTCCTCCTCCCCCACCTGCAGTACTGCAGTTCTGTTCTGACAGGGAGGAAGGAGACAGACTGGTGGAACCATATATTCACACTGCAGTACTTCAGAATCAGTGTAATTTCTGGGGACGGGGTTGGTTCCTCTAAAGCATTACCCAGAGTATCCACATTCAAAGTCTACAATAGGCATTGAATATTCTCTGCCTATACAAAGAAAGTGTACTATTCTAATGTTGGCACTTCATTCTACAGGAAGGAGTTCACGGATCTCCTCCCTTTTTTGCCATGAAATATTTCAACTGTGACTTCGGTAAAATAAAGTTATACACTTAATAAGTCTCAAGTGCAAGTTACGTATATTCAACACCACTACGATATTTCTTTTAGAGTTAGGAAACCTCCTAACATGGAGGATCAGATGATTAATGCTATCTGTTTAAAGTGTAGTAAAAGCAGTGCAATGCAGCAAACAGTATTCACTAACTTCTATTGCATGGGATGGACTAAGTGCTGAGCAACTGAATAAAGTGACTGCAACACTGTTTGCCACATCAGTCCTTTTACACAAAGATAATCATTTTCAAAAATCGCTCCTAGAAATAATGGATTTATTAAAATTAGACTTCCACCTGAAGTACATCTCAATAAAAAAAATACTGACACAGTCAGCAGGGCTCAGTTTGGTACACAAGTGCTGGTGCTAGTTTTCCTCCTTCTAGAGCAATGGTCTCGTCTTCACTTAGCCACGAACATCAAAATTACACATGCAAGCAACACCCAGCTCTTCTGGGATGGTTATGTGCTCATTTTGCCTTCTGCGGTATGGTTACAAAGACTTGATTTGGCAAGCATTGCTCCAGAACTAATACTATGTGATATATATAAAATATAAACATACAATACACAGTCACATTTAATTAACTTTCAGCCTCTGTGCAATTTAAGTTAAACTTCTCTCATTAATACATTTTTAAACTGTAAACCATCATAGAGACCAGAATACTTTTTTTGTTTTTGTTTTTAAATAAAAAGTAAATGCCTTTATATATCAGGTTGCATATGAAATTCTACTGTAATAAAGGCAGTTACGTTTCTTCTTCAATTACCATTAACTAAAGTTAGGATAAGGACTTGAAGACAAAATCCACAGTCCTCACGGCAAATGAGTGACAGAGTAGTTGAAAGAGATGCCCCTCAGTCACCAAGCTCTGAGCTGCTAAAAGACACCTGGAAAGTTTTCCACAACAGAACAAGTCTGCTTCTATAAATGATTTCTTCTCAAACAACTGAACCGAGACCAGCATTTCACATGGACAAGCTAGCAATGTCAGCTAGCAATGTGCCTTAGCTCCTACTTCAGAATAATCTCATAAAAATCCAGTTGTATAATGATTTGAGGCCAGTATGAAGAAGGAGGGACTTAGTTCTGAGCTGAGAAGGAGCCAGCAGCTGCTACTTAGGATAGAGTCAAAGAGTGGACAGGATTATAGAGCACTTGGGCATCTGGAAGCAGCGGCTTCTTGCAGCTGCTGGGTTCTCTCATTCAGCTATTACCAAAAAGAAAAATGACAGTACCAGTAGTGAACAGGGAAAAAAAAAGTAATGGTGTGACAAACAGCATCCTGCCATGTTTCATAATTCTTAAAAAGTTTTTCCTCTTGCAAAGCTAGAAGCAAGCTTCACTAACAACGTTTAATATTTCATTTTTTAAATTAATAAATAAAATACATTAAAATCCTTTGGGTGCTATACTCACTCCCCAACATCGTACATACAAAAGCAGACATACAGAAATATAGGTGACTTTGCTCAGGTAAAAAGAACTGAAAATATCTTCTTAGACCACTGAGTTCAGCCCCCAGTACTAAAGGCTGCAAGGTGCAAGCAGTTAGGCTGTCTTGTCTCTCTGACTTCCCACTGAAAGATCACTTCAGGACGTAAATAACAGTTCTTATTCTCAAGATAATTTAAATTTCCAGCCTAAATTTTTACAGTGGCCAGTTAATTCTATTGCAAACACTGCCTTTAGTATTGGGAAAGCCTACCTTTCTTCTAAGTTCTCTCCTAAATACATACATTTCCTACATATCTGTGTACTTAGGTAGAGAAAGAGAAATCACAGTCGTGCTTCTCAAACTCCTTTCAAAAGCACACTGTATTGCCCAGTTCATCTTTCTTGAACACAAGTGACCAAGACACTGTGCAATAATGTGATCCATGACTGTCACAAATAAAGGCAACAACTGTCCTTCTCATTTATGTGGATGACCATTGCAATTGTTCTATTGTAAGAATGGTATTTTTTTGTCTGCTAATTCTAGAAAAGTGCAGTGTGTAGAGGGTGTATTAAAGTTACAGCAGTTTTATTCCCCTCCTTTTCAACAGTATCTAATTGTGAAAAATAAATTATTAAATTATACTGGATCTGGCACATCGGCTTCCACTGTCTTGTAGATTTTGCTCAGAAAGACTTCTACCTTGTCATCACCCAGGTGACAGACGTCCAAGATACAGACAACATGTTTGCTGTCGAGGTCCATTGCTGCTTTCACAATTTCATCTAGAAGTTAAGAAAAGTAGTCTTAAGATACATACAGCATGATGAATTGGCATGGTTTTCCACAAAGCAGTATGTAGACATTTAACCTTTTTTCACTGAAAAACGCACCTGGACTATTAAGTGTTGGGCAACTGTGAAATGGTTATTTTTTGGGGTAGAATCTCATTAATAAATTCAACCACCAGAAACAACAACATTAGAACTCAGAAATGAAAAAGCTGAAATCTGCATTAAACATTGGCAGCTCTCATATTTCATAGCGTAATTCAAGGAAAAACAAAGATGCATTTGAATAAAATCAGGTCTGTATAAATGAACAGGAAAACACCATACCTATGTAGCACTGTGCAGTATGACATGCATTAACATATTTGCTATGAGGTGTCAGCAACGAGAAGTATAATCTGAGGTAAAATAATTAAGTAGTTAGAAAATACTTTGGTTTATAGGCATGGTAGGTTGCATTAAAGCAGCTGTTCCAGGTGACATCAGCAAAATGGGTGGACTGACTGCTATTCTACACTATTTCAAAGCAGATGAAAGCAATTATTCACATGCTTATAATGACTTCTATGTCAGTATAATTTTGCATCAGCAAATAACTGCAGGCACCACACCTAGGTCACTCTGGAGTTTATGTTCTGGATATTAAAATACTATTTCCCAAGTACAAAAACAGCCCCAGTAAAGGCTTGAAAAATTCAGCATTATATCCATTTATTAAAGATGGCCACATCAAATTCAGGCGTTCGAGTGAAGAGGTGAACAATGCCTGATGTACAACTGAAGTTTGCACTGGGAGATAGAACAAAAGACAGAAGAGTAACATCAGTAAAAGCCAGTCTTACTTGAAAGTGAAAACACGTCACAAAACGTTCCATTGCCAGTGGCCTGCTGACAAGAAGAGATGCAACTCATGCACGACAACAACGGATCATTTTCAACTTCCTCTACAGGAAATAAGTGGGGATCTTCATGACCAAACACTGGGAGAAAGGCAACATCTATTGCAACATCGTGGTTTATACCTGTTAGAAAAGGTATCTGTTAGTAGTAAACTTCATCTCCAGTCTATCAACAACTTAATGGTGCATTTCTTCTTCATTTATTTTTTTAAACAATCAGACTACTGAAGGCTGAACATCGGTATTCATGAAGGCTGCTCTGAAAGTAATGCCTGCTGTGTTAGGATGTTAGCCCATGATGTCAGAGGCAGATGTTGGTGGCATGGCAGGATGAGTTGCACCTTCCCAAGCATTCCTTTACACTTTGTGGCCTTGTGACAGCAGAGGGGCAGTCTGACAGAACGGCATCTGATGTGGAAGTTGTGTATGGAGCAAAGGGTGAGACTGAATTCCTCCACGTGGAAGAAATGGTACCTACTGACACTCATTGACACTTGCTGCATGTTGATGGAGAACAAAAGTGGATGTGAGCACAGTGAGGCAGAGGGTGGTGCATTTCAACTGTGGTGACAGTGGTCAGCTTCACTGGTGCAGATTTTGATGAGCGTGGCATGCAGGCTCTTGTTCACTGCTGACAAAAACATGCAGCTAATGGTGGTGACTATGTTTACAAACAGTGTTTTGTAACTGAGAATTTGCTCTATCCAATAGTGTTACTACTCTTTGTATCTGTTGCTGTTTCCATGGAAATAAATAGGAGGCATTGCTTTCAGAGTGACCCAAGTACCATCAGAAGATTCTTAGCCATGTGCTCTTTGTTCAATAATTAATAACCAATGACAAACATATCTCAATTCACACGTACAGTGAAACTGCTCGTGCTGCAAGTACTAGGATTTAAGGTTAACAATGCAGTTAGCTCAAAGAGCATTAAAGCAATATAGGGTGCCATTTCACACTCCTTTATAGCTTTATAGTTGCTACAAAGGCAAAGAAATCTAATTTACATCCAGTATATCTATGCAGTACGTGGTGCAGTACTTGTGTTACTTTCAGCTTGAATACTATATTGCATGTTCCAGGATTCTAATGACTGTAAATGTTTAAACACCTTTTCTGCAAATTCCGCTTTGTAAATAATGGAAACTTTTAGAGTACAGTAACATAACATGAGCACTGTTAATCCAGCCAATTTCCTTCTCCTTCTATTGGCAAAACAAACCAAACAGATTAATATTCCACAGCAGTGGAAGAGATCTTGTTGCATATTTATCATCAACTTGCACATTTCTATTTAAAGGTCAATCAGTTGATGCTTTGTGCTAACCAGAAGCAGCAGAGCAGTTGATGAGAATGGCTAAAATACAAGCCCTTAATTTTTTTAGCACAGAAAAAAGGTATCTCAGGAACAACTGTACCAAGAAAAAAAAAACAAACTTCAATGAGGACAGAGCTCAAAAGAAGCTCAAAAAGATCAAAAGGTGTCCTCAAGAACATTAATTACTCCTAATGAACACCCTTCTAACAGAAAAGTTAGCTGACAATAAAGAGCAATTGAATTATTTGCTTTATTAAGTCAAACTGGTTGAACGACTGAACAGGATGTATATTTTACTGTAATAATAAATAGCTGAAGGAACCATACACATTCTTCAAATAAGAAACATAAGCCTATAAACAAAATTGCAATAAAATGGAAAGTGACAACAGAAACAAAATATTCATTAATTAAAATTAATGACATGATGATAAATTTAATGAAATACAACTTTCTGGTGAAATATGATCCTAATTCATTCCTCCAGCAAGGATCTAAAATGTCTCTCTATATATTTAACTTAAATACCCACACATTCAAAGACTTAAGCCAGAGAAATCCACTCAATTTCTGACCAACCTCCAAGTCATTCTCAACACAGGAAACAACTAAGATTTTATTCTGCTCTTGCTTAATCATTTTTAGATGCCAGGCCACCAAATACTTACCCAGAACTGTCACTTCATAATATCCAAAGCCACCAGTATTTTTAAATTCACTGATATTTTTATCTATTCTGGTTTCTTTTGGCTGATGCACAGCTGCATGAAGGTTGTACTGTTGCATAAGTAAGTCTTTGTACATGTAATCAAATTTACATGGGATGCTTTCTGGGAAAATCATGCTGTGATGCAAATATTTCATCAACTTGTCTTTCACTTGTGCCCACAGGTCACTCTGCCATGAACTGCAGGTTCTTGTCATCTCTTCAGTTTCAGGTGCATCATTTATTTCTTCTTGGTCTGTTATTAATAGAGTAAGTAGTTAGTTGCTCATAGGATCATATCACTTCTCTACTTGATGAGAAGTATTTTCCTGAGAACATTTCAATTGTGGCAGTATGTTCAAAACAAAGAACACAAAGACTTGAACTACGTTTGGAATGTGAGCGAACAGGTAACCTTAGAGGCTACGTTTGGACACTGTGGCCCATTTTTAGAGAGTGAATAACTTGCTTAAAGAATGCCTAGAAACCATGACAAGTTTAAAACGTGTACAAGAGAAGGTAAACTTCCCCATTCCTCCACAATAACTACACAAACACTGAGGACTATGCTACATTTCAATTTCTTTGCTATACAGATAGTGATAGCTTCATTCTTCTTTCCTATTATATACAGTTTATGGATTCTTTATGGTAAAAACTTTTATATCTGTCCCTACTGACTTAGAACCCCCTCCATCCAGCTTATCAGAAAGCGCATTTCAAAACATTTCCCAGTTAAATTCTTACCAGGCAACCTTCAAAAAGAAGAAAACATGACAAAGTACTGGCATGAATAAAAATCAGATCATGCTTCACATAATGACAACAAACCAGACTTCTTCCTTCATCCAAAAAATAAATACCAAGACAGCAGCTGCTTAGAACATGACTTTGTATTCCAATTGCAGAGGAAAAAAGAAATAATTGATAAGATTAACTGAGAAAAAAAAAAACAACATTGTTCTCACGACTGGGTTGTATGCTGCACTCATTTCCTCCCACATCTTGTATTTGTCTTTTTAATTATGTACTTATGTTGTTTTGGGGCTGTCTTCTAGGAGAGGGACAATTTTATCATATGCATATCACTATAAGAAGAAACCTGTCAAAAGAAGATGTGAAGACTTGCACTACTAAGTCTCCTGAGCAATGCTTCGGAGGCACAGAGACTTACAGCTTGTATGAAGCAACACTGAGAATCTATTTCTCATGCTGGGAAACAGCCTAATGCTGTCCTTGCTGACAGCTTTCACAGCACACCAGGGATAAAAGCAAGCCACAGCAGCTCCCTAGAGGTTGCTACAGAAGAGCTGACTATAAAAACAGTGGTTCTAAGGATACCTTTGCCTGTTTTGGACCTGAAGAGAAGAAGTTGGTTTAAACTTCTAAACAAAGCAACTACTTGTGACATACCTGTGCAGCACTGTGAGCTGTCTGATGGAGCCTGTTCTTGTACAGAATCTTCACGTTGAAATTCATTCAAGCTATAAAAATGAAACATATATATATATAAAAATATAAATAAATATATATTTAAAATCTATTTTATCTCAATCAGTACCCAGCAGAAGTTCTAATCTTGGCAGATTTCTAGTGATAAATGAAACAGGCTTGAATGAGTGAGCATTTGCACTTGGTTTTGCACCATAAGACTTCAGCTGGACATAATGAGACCTCAGTAAATCAATTTTCAAGAGCTTAAGATAAGAACCGCCTTATTTCATTGCTTTATGAAGTAGATAAGGAAGTAGACACACAAAAGCCAGTCTCTGTTGCCCTCTACTGGATCTTGCATCACAAACAAATGAGATGCAGGCGAGACTAATTTTTAAAGGTACCTCTGAAATTCTGGGCTACTTAAGTGATTACTAATAAAGCACTGTAACTGCAATTACACAGAAACAATACACAGACAAAGAAAAACAGAAAGGCTGTACATGCTATTCAGTGGTAAATTCTTCAGTTGTAAAAAGATTTTGACTTTTTCTGCACATTTTGCAATTTTGTAATGAAGATAAATCTTAAAAACCCTCTTTTAATGTTTCATAACAAATAGAAAATACCTTGAATACAGTGGTGAAAATACAAGAGGAAATACGTTGTGTTTCCTGAGTATTAAGTATATTCTAAGAAATGCATTATCCCCATGGTGTGAGCTATGTCTCAGAGTGACTATCTTGTCATCTTCAACCCTAGGCACAAAAGAATCCTCACTCAAACAGCACAGACTGATCAATTAAAGTTTCAGCCACTTAACTTTGAAAGCAAAGTAGTTACCAGAGTGGACTTCACAGCACTCTGATCTCACTTGCCTCACAACCCAACTGACCTCAGAGCACAGTCGTGTGAATAGCATCGAAAAACAAAACCTGCAATGCACTTCAATGCCACTACATGGTCCAAAATATTTTTCAAATTCAGAAGTCCAGTGCAATCTTGGAAATACACATACAAGCTGTAAGACCTAATTTTATGAAGCAGGATTTTACACTTTCTGGAGAAATGTAGCAGGAAAGTTCTTATCTTTCTCAGAAGAACTCATTAATTACATTGTTCCTCTCATGGTTATTTTTAGATAAAAGAATCTTTCCATTAAAATAGTATCTTATGAATGATTAATTCTTTTTATTAGAATCATCCTGGAATGTAATTACTGTGTATGCATAATAATAAAGTAATCACCTTCATATCAGCTATGTTAATAAATTTTCAAGACATTAAAGACATCATAAAATGATTAACAAAAGCTGTCTAATTAAAAATGAATGCCCACAGAGCTGATTCTCATTTTCAACGTTCAGCCTTCTCAACAACAGACACGAAAACTTAGCACAGCGTTACAAAGCTCGCTCAGGAATAACACGCCAAGTGAGATGCAAGCCAACTTCCCTCTTCATTAAAGAGAGAGCACACCAAGCCATACTACTGACAAGATGATGTCATAGAAATGGTTTCTTTTTCTTTTAAAACTGCCTGTTTGTCAAAGTGAGGAGGTTCTGATTTAGAGCTACTTTTCCTCTTAAAAATGTAGAAATAACTTGTCCCAGTTTTTTTCCCAACTTCTTCCCAGGCTTCTTGCACACATCTGTGGCTGGGATGACCTCAACTACCTGTGCAACAGGTGACGCCTCCTGGACACTTTGCACTGGATGTTTGTACAGCATAAATTCAGCTGAGTTTATAGATGAGGTAAACTTATCTATACACAACAATTTATAGCTTCTTTGACAGCCAGACTGTGAGGCACCTGACACCTAGAGCAGTATGCTGGGGCTGTTGTACACCAACACATCCATGCTCGTATTTTGCCCGTGCCAATTTATGAGAACTTGCCCCATGCCAAATTTCCTATTTGCAGGCTGTATTCTGCAGACTCTGCTTTTCACAGGTGCCCATTTGGAAAAAAAAAGAAAAAGGCTTTTATATGTTATTTCCAGATGCAAGGAGAAGATGGAGAAAATGACAAAGGTCTGAGTTGTATCAAACATTTGTAAGTGATACTCCAAGGACAAAAGCATGCAGACAAGTTACTTTCAAGCAGGGTAGAACGTGAACGTCATCAGCGATTCTGTGGTAACTGCAGTGCTAAGTTTCTGAAGATTAAAATGCTATTGTGGTTTTTTCACTTCAGTGGAAAAAACAAGCTGGTCTGAAATTCCTGATCTTTCTCCATTCACACTAAATCACTGATTAAACTAATCTGGGGTGTATAAAAAGCTCAAAAGTACATTTATGTTAAATGTCTTTGGCAGCAGGGATATAAATATCAACTATAGTGTTAAATTAATCTGTTTCCTCTTAACTCATTCTTTCTGAAACAATAATCAGAATGTGTCACACACATTCTAACACTACATAATGTTATGTGAGTTACCTCAGAAATGTAGGAACTGAGGCTGTCAAATAAAGAGCCTAAAAATAAACTGTTTCTGTTTAAAAACAAAAAAGCCTTCAGCAAGGCAATCACACACTGAAATGCTGCACAGAGCACTAGATATAAAATACTTCAAGCTACAATGCATACTTCAAAACATATTGCTATTGTTGTTATTTCATCAGCATATTAAAATACTTCAGTGAGAGCTGGTGTCCCACCACTTCTAAGCAACAGAACAGAGAACAATGCAAGCTTAAAGCACATCAGGCTAACCTTCCATTTATTGCCCTGCAATTTGGAGAATTCAGTATGACTTCACAGTTAATTACAGAAATACACAAGTTACCTTTTAATTACACAGAGTGAAACAGCTTCCCATAATCCAACACAGACTTTCTCCTCCTTTAGTTGGAGTTCTAGCACTAATGGCATAGAGTACAGGATACACAGGTAGCAGGGACAGTAGCAGATTGAGAAAAGCAGAGAACAAAGTAAACAGACCTTAACTTTTTACTTCACTTATAAGAAAAGGGGAGAACAAATTCTTCCCACCCACTCTCCCCATGAAAACAAAAAAAAAAGATTATTTCTCAACAAGCAAAAGAAAAGTAATTTTCAGTGAGGAGGGAAGAGGTGCTGTAAGTAAATTCAGCAGGCACTTGAGGGGCTCACTGTCATCCCGACAGTAAAAAAAAAAGTGCTTCCTGATGTCCAAATGGAACACGCCATGTTTAGGTTTTGCCCATCACCTCCCATCCTGCAACTGGGGACCACTGGTGCCATCTCCTTTGCACTCTCCCTTTCAGGCATTTCTGTACATTGATGAAATTCCTCCAACCTTCACCAGGCTGAACAGCCCCACATCTCGCAGCCTTTCCCCACAGGAGATGTGCCCCTTTATCGCCTTCATCATCTATATGTATCATGTGTTACAAACCCAAAGCTCCACCAACACAAAACAGACATTTTGAAATCACTAACATCAAAGGGTTCAAACGTTCAAATTACTCAAGCTATGTTTGGAACAAATGAAAAGAACTTACAACCCTTACAGGAAATCAAGGAGAGAAAGGAGCTGTATAACCCAGACTAACAATCATTCACTGTTTTTTAAAATAAATTTCCATTTCTTAAGCTTCCAGTCTTGTCAAGGCTTTGGATTTGAAACTCCCACTCAGACTGGTAGTTTGTTGGGTTTTGTAAAATCCTTCTCTGGATCCAAACCAAGCTCAATAAAGACTGAGTGCTGGGTAGTGGAAGGAGCCACGGGACTTCTCAGGGCCCACAATGCATCCACCACTGCAGCACGGAGGATAACTTATAGCTTAGTTACTTATTACTTAGTTACAAATAAAACCATCTATGGTATCACATTGTTCACTCTGCTCGCTAATTAAGCATCCTTCCATCCTACTCTTATTTTTAAACTGCATATCTCCCTAAAACAAATACAATATACCTTACTCCATTTATCATGATGGACCCCTGTGACTGTGTTTTCCCTCAGAAGCACAAGTAGCTATAAACATTTGTGTATCATACACAAAACTATGTTTCAGAATAAAAGAATTCCATACATTTTACCTAGAAAAAGTCAGAGAAAATTAATAGAAAATATTAAATTTTACTGTTTTGTTCTCTCACTTCCAACAGAATCTTGACCTGTAAGAATTTCAAATATCTTTGCTTAATCATTGCAATTATTTAATATAGTTACCTTCACATGACTTACCTTAACTTCTTTTTAGCTGAGCGTGTGTAATAGGGATAGGAGGATACAGAAGTAGCAGATGTGGTTCCCCTTAAGATAGGAAATTCACCATTATTTTACAGTATTCTGTTAAATACACAGAGCAAAGAACATGCATGTTTTTCGTTCAGGTAGAACCTAAGACACTCGAATGCTGGAATTTATCTTATGGAATGGAAATCCACCAAGTCTGCTCTAACAATGCCGAAACAGAACTTCAAGACACCACATTTCTTTGTCTAAAGTTTTCACTCAATCCTAATTATATTTCTCTTCATTTCCCCATAAAAAATTCCAAACACCTGCTCTTTTCCCACCATTATGACTTTTGGATGTGAAAAGTGAAGGGATTAGACTTGCTAAACTTTAAATCTTTCAATATATATGCCAGGCTTCTAAGATCAGTTATGGGTAAACTAGATCTTACACAAACACATCACCATAAATGACAACCTTACAGAAGCAAATATTTTACTCTTGAAAATAATAAGGTTTCCTCAGACTTTTTTTTTTTCTTATTCCATTTCTTGTACTGGATTCGTAACCTTTGCCTAGGTTGGACTAGATGCAATACCACTTCATTAAATTAAATCACAGATATCACCACTTGATACTAGAAGTATGTAGCTGCCTTTTGAACATTAAAATACAATAAACAGCTCAATAAACAGCTTTTTAAGATTTCTTACATGCTTTTCCAGGGGCTGGGCTCTGAATTAATTTTCATAAACATTTTTAGAAGATATGCTACAGAGTTATGATAAGAGCTTACTGTTCTGTGTCTGTACATGATTTGTGCAGAGTCCTTCTCTTGGCTGCACTCTTTTTTGATAGTTGAGTTTGATGCTGATGCTGTTCCCTAGGAGTGCAACTTGGCTCCCGAAAAGACCTGAGTTCTTCGGCTTGTAGGTTTCTTGTTTTTCCCTTGTGAACGTCATCTTGCTTTGACACAGGAGAACTTTCAAGAAACTGTGCATCTTTCTGCAACAATTAATTAAGAGCTTTAAAGCACTTAAAACTAATTCTTCCAACTCAAAAGCCTCAATGTTTTCAAGTAAATTTCTGAGAGTGAATGATTTACTGTACCTTCCAGAAGTTCTATCTAGCAGAAATTCCCTTACAATCATTAGCAAGGTAAATTCTGTCTGGAACGTGATTGTGCAAACATTGCTGTAGTCAGCTTTCTCACATTCTAATTTACTTTTAATTATCTGGTCAGTTAAATGAGCAGCTCCTAAACAGTTATGAAGTGTTACAGAAGGCTGGCTACAACACACACAGAAAAGCACTGAATCACTGCTTTTTAAAAGTCTTCAAACAGTGATTTTCCAACCTATTTTGTTCCCAAAATAACAAATGCAGTTAATCAAGAGACAGTGTAGCTCATTTCTGGAATCAAATGCAAAATTCTCCATTTTAACTACAATCATAGCTGCTTAAATGCTACAGCATGAATTCTCAGGTGCTGTACCTGCACAGGTTCCACTCCTGAGGCATCTTCAGCTGCACTGCTACAGCTGATGTATCTTATGGCACTGATTATTCCTTGAATAGCAATGCGCTTGTGTTCCCTGTAATGCAGACCTTCAATCTCTTCTCCCAGCTCGCCTATGGCTTTCAAAACTGATTCAACTGCAAAAGAGCAGTCCCACAAATGAGATGATGAGTTTAAAGAACTACAGTACCAAGATGTTTGTATTCACGACTCAAAACAAATCTGAAAGTCATTGGTTACTAAATATTGATTTAAAAATGTGTTCTTGAAGGATTTTAAACCCCTTCAGAGCACGTGAAAAGGAAGTTAAACAAGAAGCCTTTTTTCCCCCACAGTATATTTCAGTATGCATTATCAGATAGCACAATTTGCGCTTTAGGTGAAATGTCTAATTTAATATACTCTTCAGTATAACTCCCTTTAATTCTGATTTAGAAGCAGTGAAAGTAAAGCTTCTGGGCAGACTTGCAGTTCACATAAGTTATTAAGAGTTTCCCTGCAGCTAATGGTGCCACAATAGTTTCTTTAAGATGAGGATTTAGCCTATGAGATGTTACTAGTCACCAAAGGAAACTCTCTTAAATGGCATTAAAATTTGTACAATTACTAACTTTGTTGCTTTCTAACCAAGTAAGACTCAATTGAAAAAGGCTACTAAAAATATTTGACAATGTGATACCTTTATTATTTTTACAATACTTCAGAAAGTTATTTGGAGGTCGTGGAAAAGGGTAATATCCACCAATGACAGTTTTCCTCATTTGATTAGCTTCACTCTGTGTTCTAGTCCACTGAATGAAGTTTTTCACTTTAGTATCCTTGGTGTATGGCTGGCCCTTGTGCCACCCTTTTAAAACAAAAATAATCAGGTATCAAAAACAAAGCAGGTTATGTCACCAATTTTTAGCTTGAAACTATTCTGAACAACACACGCAAAAAGAAGAACAAAGAAAAACTGTACTGAGAACACAAAAGAGATCTTCCCACCAGACAATGGTGTTTTACAGAAGGAGTATATTGAATTCTTTGCCTAACACTTGTAACTGACGCTTAAAAGTTAGACAAACATTAAGTAATAAAAAGAAATACAACAACTGGCAATGCTACTAGGACACTCTTTCACAGGTGTTTATGAAAGAATAAAACAATCAGCAATCATTTCGTTCTGTTGCTCTGCTGAAGACCTACTCATCCTTCACTCTTCAGTAACCTCCACGGTTAAGAATATACAAACATCTACATTTGCAGATGTTGCCGGGTTTAAAAATAAGATATTGACCAGTTTTATCAAATAATCTGAACAGGTCTATTTCTAAACTGTCAAATGCAACAGATCTCATCCAGCAGCTCACAGTCTCCAGCTGCAGTTCTCACTTAAGATGCAGACAGACATAAAATAAAGCTAGACTAGGGAAAAACTCAAGAGGAAAACATTTAATTAGAAAGCTAAGCACAAAACATACAGAAGAAAAACAAAGAAAAATGGCGCTCAAACTTTCCACTTAAGTGTAATTTAGATAACCTGTTAAGAAAAAGACTAAATTGCTTTGCTAGTCCAGTTAAGCATAGAACACTCTACCCAGCTTGTCAGCCAAAACACACGTATACAACTAAGTTCAGAACATTTTTTAGCACATATTATTCTCTATTCCTCCATATCAGCAGCAGGATTCAGAATGAGACTGAGTGAGTAGTATCTTAGTAAAACTGAAGGCATGAGATGGAGAGAGAAACGTGGGAAAGAGATGCCTGTTTCATCCAACGCTGCCTTGCAATAAGGCCACTAATTGCTCAGCTGCAATAACGTGCCACCATCTGCCTCCTGATTCAACAGAAGCGCTACAAACAGCTGTGCCCAGGGCTGCCTGGGAGCTGCTACCTGGTGGCATCCAGCAACCAGTGCCAGGGTACTGTACTGGGGGTATTCCAGCACAAGCATCTAGAAGGAATGCCCTGCAGTGTGGTCCAGCACCACAACACTTCCAAGGCCATGAGGTATGTACAGGGCTCTCTGTACTGGGAAAGATGGGACAGAACAGTTCTCTGAATATTTTGGGAAAAATATTGACTGAGATAAATTTAGCCCAACCATACCAATATTCTGGAATAAGGAAATAGTAAAAAACACAAAAGCTGCAATTAATTTTTATTTTAGAAAATGGGTAGATTTCCTTGCAACACTATCAAATTATTAAAACAACCTGAAATAAATTGTAAATATATGATTTAAACTGGTAATGCCTCACTTCTTATAAGATGCATCCACCTGACCTCACCAGAAGGCAATCTTTCTCTTTTTGTAATACCACCATTCATTACTCAGTCGTTTCTGACTGAGAAACGAATGCTATGCGCTGCATATTTTGTTATACAACAACTTTTCCAACTAAGATTAGAACTACATACAGCTAAAATTACTTCAAGTTACCTGTGATGAATATCTGACTTTCATTTGACGTTGTAAGGTAAACTGTGTGGGAAGGATTCTCAGAGAGATCCCGTACCACCCTCATCTGCGTACACACCAGGTATGTCACTGAAAAAAAAAATACTTCTGTTTTACTGGCTATCACACGGATGGCAGGTTTTCATATTGACACACACAGCATTCATTTTAAGTACTCAATTTAATTCTTGACCCTATAAATACTTCAGTATGCATTTAGCCACTGCTATAAATTAGAAAATGGAGACGTCGTTAGATTTTCAACATAAGAACTGTGCAAGAAAATTTCAGCATACACACTAGCACTAAAACAGGAGACACTTCACCAGGTAGGAAATCAATTTAACAAATAGCAGTGTCACCAGAAGGATGAGTGCTAGGAGGAGGAGAGGAAAAAGGGCAAAAAAAAATATCTGAAGCCCTTTTAAAATCCATAACTAAGAAGTCCACAGTCTGAAAGTTATCATTATCAGCTGACATGAACAACTACCACAGCTCACTGATGGTTTCCGTAGAACAAAAAAAATTGAAAAAATATTTTTTAAAATTAAAAAAAAGCTTTTCTACTTTCACCTCTCCCTTCCTCCAATCCTCTTAATCATATCTAGTAATAATATTTACTTATTTATGGACAAAGAGAGTAATAGATTTGAACAGCTGCCTTCTTTCTTTAGTTGTCTCTGTTGAAACAGCACATTACCCCAGGTACTTCACTAGTTTTGCTAGAAATTAACCACAGCAGATAAACTATGTAGCCCACCTAGCTGTTTAGATTAACTGGCAGACCCCAGTGGGATGAGTTTCAAACAGTTACATTCACTTTTTTTCTTTTAATTCCTCAACAGTAGCTTTCTGTTTGAGGTGGTGATCCAGGGATTTTTGCTTTTAATTTAGTGGCAATTATATGCAGAATTTGAAATTAGTGACCAGGTAGGAAAAAAAATAAATAATAACCAACAAATACTGTAAAGAAATAAATACTTGGGTGAATACGCTCAAATACATCTGGCTGAGAAGTTGCAAATATTTCCAGTATGAACGGTTTGTCTGAGGTCCCATCAATGGCATGTGCCCAACGATAGAGCCAGAAGTCTTCACTATCTTCTATATAAACAAGAATTAAAAAAACATGTAAGTGCTACTTCAAACAGTTAAAAATGGTTTGATAAATTTCAGATGTCATATTTCTGGAAAAACCTTTCTTTCTTGTTCGTTCCACCCTTCCTACAAAGGTCACAAGGCCAATAACATCACAGGAATGATTGTTGGGTAAGTCATTTAGCTCTGTCCTGCAAAACAAAACAGAAGAAACAAATCTGGTATTAATGAATGACAATACATAAAATTTTCTCAGAAAATTTCTCAAAACACATCTTCAATTAATGCTCAGTGTAACTTTATGAAATCTAAGATCCAGCTTCACAAACAACGAACTTCCACTTTACCTTGTAACAAACCGGTATTTAACTTCAGGCAATCCCCACTCTGGCTTAACCATTTCCTCAGAAATTATACTTATCTTGGTAGGTGGGTTTCGTACGTTGAGGCTGATTTCTGACAAAGAAAGAGAAGACAAGCATTTAAGGCACTACTGCAAATTCAAAAAACACTTTTCATTTTAACTGAAAACCCACAACAAAACTGAGTGAGGTTTCTTAAATGATGTATTCCAACCACGTCTCATTGCTTGGGAAACCACCAATGAATCCCCCTGACTTCATGTTTCCATTGAGATAAAGTAAGGAATGCAGGTACAGCACACAACAATGCAACTCTTTAAGCAACGCTAAACTTTCCAGTTCCCTACATGAGTCAATTAGTTTGATCAGGCAGATATTCAAATAAAGGCCATCAAAGAACTTACAACACCGATTAGCTATGAAATATTTCTACTGTAGCTTCATTCACAAATGTCACTGCAATCTAAAATTGACTTGCAGACAACAAAGCAAAATAAGAACAGAACTAGCAAAAGAAAACAGCCACATAGCATACCAGTTCAGGTTGTTATTAGTATGACAGAAATAATGACATGGCCACACAAGAAAACAAAAGGTCTTTGCACGTTTATGGTATGGCACCTGAATGTTTTCATTTATTAAGCAGTGTTTAGATGCTAAATTACAAACACGGCAGTACTGAGAGAGGGGAGGCTGCAACCAGAGAAAAATATAGAAGGAATGGCTTCATTTACAGAATACACACAGTGGTACAATACTGCCTCTCTCATTGCTGGATAAATCACACCGGTATGAAATACACTGATCTCATCAGTTTCTACAAGACACTTTGGCAATGGATTATTCAAATAACGCACTCAGAAAAGCAATTTCTAACTATAAGCAATCAGTTCAGTTGGTCCTATCAGGTCCCTCGTGCTAGCCATGTGACACTAAGATGTTATACTTGAAATCTGATCCTCTACTTTCTTTTCTTAAGGCTGCTACTTGCCAGAAAAGCGTTAGAAGAATTAACATGTTTTTGCATGTGGTGCTTTCAAGTAGTGTTTGAAAGACAATTTCTGAAAATAAAATAGTTTTGATGCTCAAGAATATCTTTTTTTGTTCTGTCATTGTGAGGTTAAATGAAAGTCATAGACTGGGCTAGGATTATACAGTGCAATGACTCGGAAGTGAAGGTTGGTCCACGCTAACTGAGGCAGCTGTTTTGATCAGTCCCACATACATTCAGTGATGTGTGACACATTGTCCAGAGGCAGAATTCAAGGTGATGGTAATATCTGAGCTTCTGCCATGTCAGGCTACAGAACAGCACCTCTCAGCATGTCACACAATCCCACATTAGAAACATATGTGCACTTTACAGAACTCGCTTCACAGAGAACTGGCAATAGGCAGGCAGCAAACTGCCTTGCAAGTTTGCTCTTAATCGAGTCCTTTCCCTTGTGGCCTAAGGAACTCTGACTTTGTTCATCCTCCAGATACATCTTAACACATTCACAGGTGAATGAATTTAAGGAAACATCCTGAAGTTGGGAGGTGATGGAATTACGAATTGGAAACAGATTATGCAAAAAAGTAACTGTTACTTGATCAATTCAGTGTAACTGATTGCTGTAACCAGTTTGCTGTAGAACTTCTGGAATTTTCATTGTGCACACTTTAAAAACTGAAATACAGCTGATTCATATTGAGTGCATAAAGACATATTAACAGAGTAGTTAAAAGCATCTGATTTCAGATATGCTGTCACTCTAACATCAACAAAAGAAAATCATTCTCCTAAGAGCTGCATAACATTGATTCTAACTGCTCTATTAGATTTTCTGTTCCCTTTTGACTCTTGCCTTATGTGATATACAGATGTAGGACCTACCACATGGCATGATTTCCTTTTCAAGTTCCCACAAAGATAAAGCTCTGAGGTTTGGCTAAGGAAGAAGATACTGTACATACACGCTGGTATGAACTAAACATCAGTTGTTTTCAGTTTATCTGTGGTCTGAAAGCATGCCACTGCACTTTACTATAGACTCTTTTAAATCTTACATTAGATATAATTTACTGTCCACTGGCTCATTTCCATTTTCTCTCTCCACCAACATTTCTACCCAATCACATATGCAGAAATCAGTAATATAGTGTGAATAAAGCCGTTCAAATTGGCCAAGTTTGCTCATAGAGAAAGTAATCTCAGAACGTATCTTATTCCATCCTCTTCCCATAGAAAGGTTTTGTGGCAATTAAAAATGCTTTGAGGGTTGGCTTGCAATCAGCATCAGCTTCCCTCCCAAACTCTCACTGCCTGGCTAAACACTTCTCTCCTGTCAACTCATCACAAACACTTAAGACATTAAGATCTGATATTAAGGCAAAGATTCGTTAGAGAATACACTGCTACTAGCAGGGAAAATATTGTTTACTTTTACACACTGTAGCAACTGCGCTTTAGGAAGTCATCACTGCTAGTAAGCCATACACACATCATCCTTCACAAACACAGTTGCTTGTTTCAGTTGTTGGTATCTTCTGAAAGTTGGCTGCTCTTTGTTCCAAGTATAAGTCCATAAGGGGAAGGAAAACTCACTTTCAGTGAAACAGGAGAGAAAGAAAACCATCCTGGAAAAGGCTATTATTGTTATATTGTGGCACCTGTACTTCTGCAGCACAACTCCCTTGAATATCTGTTGAACAACAGCAAGAAAGGAAGTACTTTCTCACAGTCAAGGGATATTCTTCAAATAACTGCTCCCACGGTGCTGCTGTTTCAGTACAGACAGGATCAGCAATGTTTTATTCAGTGGAGCTTTACACTGGGGCTTGCTCCCACGGAAGCCTACACTCAGATGAAAGCAATGAAGCGCCTTAATGGGCCTGGAAGAAGGTATCAGCAATGCCCAAGAGATACCTGTATTACTAACCAGGAAAAAGAATCAGATTAAAATCCAGTACTGGAGGATCGGGGATTTGTATATGTATATTTTCAAATAAAGGTTTTAACTAATCGTTCCAATAAGCTTCAAAGACGTGATCCAAATTTAAACAGAGAAGTGTAAGAACATGGATGCTAAGACATTTTTCAGAACTAGAACATAGGGATAGACAACACATCAATAAATTCACTTTCTATTTTTCATTTCTATAAGGAGCCACCTACTACAGCTGTATTTCAATGAATCAAAACAGATTTCTGCAATACTTAACCAATTGTAGTAAATCTCTTCATCTGTGAATCTCTTGGGGTTGGCTGTGTTTTAAATGGATAACTGTCTTTGACAGCATACTGTTCAAGGAGGAGCACGGTGCCAACATTTATACTGTTATACCATTCAGGACATAAGGAATTCCACAGAACCATGGACATCATGCCTGAACCATCAGCAACTTCAAAGTAAGCCTAAAGAAAAAGACAAAATACATTATTTTATTTATCATCATTCTGGGTGTGTATCTGTGTGTGTGGAGGGAAGGGGAAGTCTGGCAAATCACGCATTGGCTGCTTGGCTCATGAACAATTTCACTGACTGCAAACAGACCCTGAGAATGTTCCAAAAGTAGCACTGAGTACTGGAGTTGAAGGGAGCACCAATTTCCACAGAACTCATCCACAGCTACTCTAGCTCAAAATCTTATTTCCAGTATTCAGTAACAGTAGGTGATAACAGTTCCAGCCTGTGGGTTTCTTTTCTAGATAAAAGATTCTTCCTTACCAGATAGAATGCAATATTTAGAATAACATTTTAATGATGAGAAAGCATGTTATATAAGTTGAGCTGTTACAGGCCCATTGGGTAAACATTCTTGATAAAACATGACACAAAGCAGAAGACAGTCTGCACTGTAAACCAGCATCTTTAAATGGAATCTCTGCTTGTGATAGATTTCTCCTCCAATAAGAGACCAAGATTCACCTTCACATGCAGAGAGAATGAAAACCTGGAACAAGATCTCTCTCTTTCCATGAAGAACACACAAGTTATTTGCCCTGTTTGTAAATTGTTGTTCTTCAGCATGGAGTCTTGCTGGCATGGTGTAATTTTTCTTCATAGCAGCCTGCACGGTGCTATGTTCTCAACACACAACTAAAATAGCGTTAATAACACATCAGCATTTTAGCTACTGCTGAGCAGTGCCTGCACTGTTCTGAGGCCCAGAGAGGTTGTGGATGCTCCAACCCTGGAAGTGTTCAAGACTAGACTGGATGGGGTCCTGAGCACCCTGGTCTTGCACTGGATCTGGAAGTTGGTGGCCCTGCCTGTGGCAGAAGGGCTGGAACTTGATAATCCTTGGGGTCTCTTCCAACCCAAGCTATTCTGATTCCCTGTTTCTCTTCTGCAGCAAGTAAACTAGGGGTGGGCAAGAGGCTGGGAAGCAAAACGGCTGAGAAAGCTGACCTGAACTGACCTAAGGGACGTTCCACACCACATAACGTCAGGCTCAGCAGTGAGACTGGGGGACTGTCTTTTCAAAGCACTCGCTGCTCAGACACTGCCTGGACATCAGGCTGCTGGTGAACAAATGCCTCTGCATCATTTTTTTGTTTCTCTTCTTTCTCCCCTTCACTTATTAAACTGTCTTTATTTCAACTCTAGAGTTTTTCCTTGCTTTTGCACTTCCAGTTTTTTCTCCTTCCCCAGCTGGGGAGCAGGAGGAATAAGCAAGCAGCTCATGGGTACTCAGTTTCTATGAGCAGCCAACCACATGTCCTGCCTATTTCCAAGAAGCACTATGCAAAAATACCGCAAGAAAAAACACGTTCTGAGAGCTGGTAAGAGTTTCACAGTAAAGCAATCTAACTGGAAATCACAAAGTGCAAGAATTACAGAATACAATTTTTTTTTTTTGGTACAGACAAACTCTGACTTCCAAAGCATACAGAGCAGAAAACATTTACTCTTTTAAGCTATTATAAACTCCAAATACATTTTTCTATTTAACAACTGAAACACAATCTGCCAAAGTCTGTATGTACCATCACTAACTCCACTGTTTCCATATTTAGCAGGGCCTCGCAAGTTTATGGAGGTGACACTTTCAATACAAAGTAGCTATAACATAACTCTTAACTCCATGCCTACTGTATGGGAATAATCACTTCCAAATATTTTATAAAGTTTGTTCAAGAGTATTAACTTGACTTGAGCCCTCTTTACCTGGTATGGCATGTCCATTTTCTTCTCTGGCTTCCCGTAGTACCTTAGCCTAGACTTGTGCAGGACTCTCACCAGCAGCGGGCGGAAATGAATTCTGCTTCTCCAGGTCGTTTCCAGCTGACCAAGGGAAATCAGCTTAGAGACTGCCATTAAGAAAAGAAAGCAGAAAGCATTCACGATTGGACACTGAAACTCTTCAGCAAATAGTAAAAATTCTCAGACTGAGATTTCACATCACATTTAAAAGGGTTATTAGCTGACTGCTGTACCGCACCAGTGAGGTGCTGGGGTCACCATCCCCAGAGGTGTTCAGTAACTGTGAAAATGACAGAATAACAGAGGTTGGAGAAGAGCACTGTGATTGTCTAGTTCAACCACCAACTCTCAGTGCCACATCTCCACGGTTCCCAAACACCTCCAGGGACCGTGACACCACCACCTGTCCAGGCAGCCGGTGCCATAACACCACTGCTCTGTCCGGAGAAGGAACTTTCCCCAGTTCCCAACCTGAACCACCCCCGGTGCAACTCGAAGCCATCACCTCTCGTCCTATCGCTGTTACCTGGGAGCAGAGGCCGACCCCCACCTCCCCACAACCTCCATTCAGGGAGCTGTGCTTTAAGGTCTCCCCCGAGCCTCCTCTGCTGCAGACTGACCCATCCCAGCTCCCAGGCCGCTCCCCATCACACTCGTGCTCCAGAGCCCTCACAGCTCCGCTGCCCATCGCTGGACACTCTCCAGGGCCTCCCCGTCCGTCCCGCAGCGAGGTGCCGGCACAGCAGGCAGCACCAAGGCACACGGCTCCTCACAGCAGGCAGGACGCCGCCGCCCTTCCCGGCCCCCTCCCCGCGCCTTACCGTCGACGTCCACCCGCGCCGGGGGCTGCTCCGCCACCCACATGTCCCCGTAGGGATCCTCGTTGTTCCAGAGCGGCAGGTAGTGCCTCCTCTCTCCGCGCAGGGGCGGCGGGCCGCGGCCGAGGCTCCGGGCCGCGGCGGGGGGCGGGGGCGAGGCGGGGTGCGCGGCGGGCTGCAGCTCCTCGATGCAGAGCAGGCCGCGCCGCAGCCGCCGCTCGTCGTACAGGTAGGAGCAGCGCGTCAGGCGCACGCGCGCTCCGGGGTGCAGGTGCGCGCGCTGCACCAGGCGGCTGAGGCGCGGCGCCAGGTAGCAGCGCTCCTGCCCCGCGCCGTCCGCCAGCGTCACGTCGTACCAATAGCGCGGGGCGGCGGGCGGCGCCTCGGCCAGGTACCGCTCCACCGCCGCCACCGTCAGCGCGGGCGGCTCGGAGGGGGCCGCGCTCAGCCGCCAGCCGCTCCGCGCCTCCTCCGCCAGCCGCCGCAGCCACGAGGCCTCCTCGCCAGGCGGGCCCCCGCCCGCCGCGACTCCTCCCGGGCTCTCCTCGGCGGGGCGCGCCGGGTCGGGCTCCTGCATGGCGGCGCGAGGCGGAGGCGGCGGCGGGCTCGGCCCGCTCCCGTCAGCGGCGGAGCCGCGGCGCCGCCATGGCGCGAGCGGGGCGGGGCTCTGCGCGCGCGCGCCGCGTGCCATGCGACGCCGCTAACGGTCGCCGGGGGAGGTGCGGCGGGAAAGCGACGGCGCGGGCCTGCCTGGGCTTGCTCGGCCGGGGGCGGTGTGAGGGCGCCTTTCCCGCCATCGAGCTCCGAGCGCGGCTCCGGCCGTGAGGGACGCATCCGCAGGCAGCGCTGCACCTGCGTCTGTGCGACTGCGGCTGACGGCGCCGAGCGGCGTTGCGGTGCGAGATCGGTGACGGCTCCTCGCTGCGCTGACTCCGTCCTGCTGCCTTCTTTCTCGCCAGCAGAGGTCCGGCTAGCACTGCGTTTAATGCAGAAGTGAAAAGCACGCGACGTGATGCTGCGGGTTTAGAAGTAAATGAGCTGCTGCGCCGGATCGCCAAGTTCACTGTAGAACGCAGTTGCTTGCCACAGAGCGCTGAGGACGAAAAGCAGCCTTTCCAATGCTTTTCATCGCTATCTGTTAGCGTTCTTTCGTTAACCCAATCTCTGAAATAATCAGAAACGATTAAATAATACGTAACTTTTGAGGTGATCGCCCAGAAGACGTGCTCTTCCCCTTTGCGTTTGAGGAGCAGCTCAGTAAAGCAGCAGACAGCAGACAGATGCACTGTTCTGCTGGTGGGACGTGAACTCACTGCTCTGCTCGTGTCTCACTTAAATACAGCTGTTAGACCTGGCACTGAAGTTGTAATCCAGCCTTATGATTGTCTTCAGAGAAACAAACGAATTCCAAAACAATTCGGTAGCGTGTAACAAAGTACTTTCTATTATAAGATAAAATTACAGTGTCATTTCGGGTGAGCTCCAGAAGCAACAAGTAGCAGGAAGGAGCTTACAGGCTGTTCGATGCCGGGCAGTTTGCACTGCGTGCTGCGTAGCTGTGTCACTGCCTGGCTGTACAAATTACAGAGCACATGAGAGAAGGTATTTTGGTTTAAAATGCTGTGAGACACAACCTCCAAACCCTAGACTGGCGTAACTTTATTTGCAGATGTGTTATCTTGTCACAGAAGTTATTTTATCTATGCCTTTATATGCAACATGGATACACGTTTATCAGTGCAATTCTAATATGAGCAGTCACAATAGGTTTGAAAGGTTCTTAAGGCGGGGTGTTTCTTTCCAGGGAGAGGAATTTCGTTTGTCTCTTATTAGTGCCTGCTAATGCCTTCCCTTCCCCACAGATTCTAAATAAATGCTTGGTAATTATGTTGAATAGAACCTAATGACCTTCTCAGGATTGCTTTTGGACACTGATACTCTGTTTTTGTGCAGCACCTTGCAGCATGAAACAAAGGATGCAGTCTTAGGAGAAGGCACCAAGTAACTCCTCTATTAGCTGGGTCTTGGCTGCTACCTTAAGAAAGGTCAAGGTGAGGCCTGGTCTTATCTACTGATGTCAGAGAGTTGTTTAAGAATCCAGTGTGCACCTCTTCCGTGATTTGCTTTTATGCCTGAAGCTGTGTCATCTGAATCAGAATGGAGTCTGGAACTTGCTCCTGTGTGCTCAGTTTCTAGCAGCTTGCAACCTGTTTTTCTAGCACTATTGTGGTGGAACACCTGGGTGGGGAGCAGGAGAGGATCATGAATAATATTACTTTGTTGCAAATAAATTGAATTGTAATGATTAGTCTCACAGACAAGTGCCAGAGTTGGGCTCAGTTTGCTTTTTATTTAGTTAGCATTTACCACAGCACATTCCAGTATAAGGGCAGGATGAGATGACAGTACTCCCCAGATTCTGGCTCATGACACCTACCTGCATGTTAGTTGGTTCATGCCATTGAGCATTAGTGGAGGAGAAGAACGGCAGATTTTAGTCAGTGGAGGCTCCTTTGTCATTTCTTGCGTAGCCCCTGCCATAGGGATCTATCTGCTTAGTACACAGATCCAAAGGAGACAAAAACCTTTTTACTATTTGATTGGGCAGGGTAAACCAACTCCCAAACCTCATCCTTGCAGGTTAGAGTTGGGATTACCTGTATTTGCTTTCTCTATATTACTGTCATCTGACATCCCTGGGCATTTTGTCCAGTTTGGTTGCAGACCTCTAGCAGGTGTCACTTGTTCAGATGTTATCAGTTTGGGTTTCCTTTCTCACACTACCTTTAGTACTGTTTTTTGGCTGGGGTATGCACACCAGGCCTAGAGCTGGAGCAGCTGGGAAACTTAGGAGCAGGCCCTTCAGGCTGGGGCAGCGTGTCTGCCAGGACTTAGGGAGGTCATTTTGAGTACATGTCAGCATTTATTTGTACATTTATAACTAGACAAAAATGAGAAGTGTTAATAGGAATGGCAAAAGAGCTGCTATTTTCACAATAATGGTAGAAGTTACAAAGAGCAGTCTGCTGACTACTTTTCAAGTTCTGGTTCCTGAAACTTTTTTAGATGAAATACTGCTTGTTTATCTCTGTTTTTGTGAAGGGAGAAATTTGCTCATCTTTTTGTAAAAACTAACATGGACAAGACAAATACTACCCTTAGTAGATAGAACCATCTTAGAACCATCTCAGCTAAGGGGGAGGGGAAAGTCTGGTAGTGATTGATGTGGAAGATGGAAATCATAGCCACACCTCTGAAACATGAGATGCTTACATCAGTACCTGCAAGTCTTTATGCATATCTGGGGCTGAGAACTACACAGTTTTTCACAGCTGTTCCAGGAAAAAAAACACAACACTTATTTCAAGACGTTTTTCTGCAACATTAGTGACATCTCCAAATCCACAAACAATGCATAAATGAATCACTGTACTTTCTTTATAGCAGAGTTATTGGTGCAGGCAAAGGAGGAATTCCAGATTTGCTTCTCTGTCCATACTGCAATTATTTTTGATCTGGAAGTAGGAAATCAAAAAGCAGAGGGAAGCACCTGTTCAGGCAGAATAGTACTAGAACTGAAGCCTGATGCTTCTTCTTGTGCTAGGGAGAGAAACTCATTTGGAGTTACTGGTGTGGAAGAATTCTGGTGCACTGTATGACTGAAGCTCCGAAATAACTTCTGGTGCTAAGAGCACTGGGTAAACTAAGCTATATGCCCAAGCAAGCAACCATGGTTAAACTTAGAATACAGAGTCCATTCCATATACTGAATGGTCGAGGCAGTGTGCTCTGCTAGCATAGAAGAAACAGAACATGGATGAACGACACTCATCTTCATCATAAATATTTCAGAGAAATCTCCCCTTCTGCCCTTACCCTTTCCAACACCAACACTGGCATAAATGGAAAATTTCCTAATTCTCACTCTAAAGTGATGGAATTACAGTGTGCTCACAATTCAGATATAGCAGTACACTTCATGGTCTGCAATGAAGACTGTGAGCATACCTAAGAAAAAGTGAATGGACTAACCAGGCCCTCAGGCTGATACAGAAACACAGAACCAGTTCTTGCAGTGTCAGGTGTCTGCAAGCTGTTGTGTCTCTCCAGTTCCACTGGGCATTTGTGCAAGGAGGAAGGAAGGAGCACAGAAACTCACTGCTAAAGCTCGTTAGCAGCACACACAGCACAGCGCTGGCTCTCACCCTTAAATTCTGTGCAGTCTGAACTCTCAGTGTCCCCTCAATATCTTTATCCACTCCAAGGATGTGTATTATTTTCTGTCTCTAGGCACGTACAGGCAGAAATAGCCATACCTGTGGGATTTGGAAAACAAACCAGCACTTTCTATGACTTCTACAATAGCTTATGCCAAGGTAACAGAATCTAACGAGACCAATGATAGTTTTGATTTTCAAAGCAGTTTTTTATTAGTTTCAGTTTTACATTAGGGAACAATAAAAAAACCACATACATGATGTACAGTACATAGCTTGCATCGTTCCCTGGTTTTAAAGTCATATGTCAAGGTTCAGGCTGTAGAACAGAGTTCACTGCTCTTAAAATTAAAGCAGGCACATACAGTACTATCTTGATGCAGTATTAGTGCAGACTCGTTTGGGCAAATGCAATGGTAGGAGCACCACCTGCCATTAGAATACTGCATGTACCAGTGGAATACTGATATGGAACTGTAATGTTCTGCCCTTCTGTCCCTATTGCGTTGGTTCAGAGACATTACTGGAAAACCATACTTAGTTCAGCAGTTCCCTCCTTGGTATCAAAAGTTAGTGGAAGTATGTAGCTAAAGAAACTCCTCACAAAATGAAACAAAATCCGATATGCATTTTGCATAGTTAAATTTATGCCAGGAAAACCTTGAGTCTCTGGAATTTTTTTTTTCTTGAGCCTTTCAACTTTTGCTTTGAGCTAAAGTTACTCATATCGCTGCCATTCAGTGTTCAGACCACCCAGCCATTCCAGATACTTTGGTTACTTTGGTTACTTTCTGTAACATTTCGTAACCTTTCATTCCTCCTACAGCAATATGCTATTCCAGACATCCACTGCCTCCCTTTGGCTACTCCTGTTTATTTTCTTCAGCTTCTCCCTCCTCTTCAGCCACTTACACTCTCATGTTACTCTTTTCAACATCTCCGGGCCCTTTCTCATCCTCACCCATCCTAATTTTCTCTCTGATAAAGAGAAAATACCACGTTCCTGTTACACCCAACTGCCATTATTATTTGAAATACCGCTTCTAAATCCTTTATAAGCATTCACCTCTAAGGTCCTGATTCTTTCCATATTTACAGGTAGTTGTAAACTCAATAATTCAGTGGTTTCACATGCAAAGTGAACAGTGAAAATCCAATCCACTGACTTGAATCAGCTCAGAAGAAAAGGACTAACAGAAGGAAGTGGAATGAGAGATTAAAATCTTAACGCAGTAGCACAGCTTCCTTCTCTTAAGCTCACTTTGTTTATTTCTTGGTGTGGAGCTAAACATTTTCACCCAGTATCCTCTTACTGTCACACTTTGCTGTTACAGTAATATTAAACAAGTTTGATGGCATTTTGCTTTTTTAGCCCCTTGGCACAGGATGGCCTGAATTTCCATTGTTCTCTGCTAAATCCTTTTAAACTAGTGCCTAGGACCAAGAAGATCTGCCCCTTACCTGTTGGCACCAATGTGGGAGGAGGGGAGTAATTCATATGCCTCCCATGTAATGCAGAGGCTGCTGTGATAAGCACACTTTAAAAAATTCTGTCGAGCAGCCGGGGTCACTGATTGCTTATGGCAAGAGCAGTTTTGCAAGCAAGTTTTGCACACCCACTGGGTAGGAAACGAAAGGTGTTCTTTCTTCACAGTTTCTTAGACATTTTATTGGAAGTAAAAGCAAGTAAATTGTATTTCTGATTGATTGTTATTTTTTTTCTTTTCCCTGTAACTTTCATCTTTGTTTCTTTCCTTTTGCTGTTGTTTGTTTTTGGTAAAAGTTGATCAAAATAAGCGCAGAGCTCAGTAGCAAAGAGCCAGGTAAAAAATGAGTCTGTTTCATTCAGTTGTCTGTCCCAGGCCCTGGCACAGACACCAGGTAGGAACATCAGAGAGACCTGTTTCATGCAGCTTTGCCCACCACTCGGATTTTAAGTCTGTACATAAGCAGATGACTTGCCTGCATTTAAGTTTACTTTAAGTAGGTAACTGCACGTATACTCTAGCATGGCTTAGGCTTCTCTAAGTTAAAACACTGCAGAGGAAAATACTTCATAAAAACCACTATACATTTTGAGATAAGCTAGTGCTCATGGAAAGTGCTAGGTTAACAACTTTGAAAAGTGCAGTCTTCCGCATAACCAAAGAACACAGACAAGCAGTGGTGCAGGCATCTCCGATCTGCCTGCAGCAGCAGAAGTGCCACTGTGGGGAAGGGCCGATGACTCCCTGCTTTGATTCTGTGCTGCAGTTTTGTACAAGGATAGCAGTTCTGGAGCTGATGGCCGCAGTCTGAGCACCGGTCAGTCACAAACGACTGCTAACACTGCCTTAGCTTGACACGCTGTAAAAAAAATGGCTACCAGTTTTAACAACTTTATTTCTCCCCTTAGTAAATTGTGTATCATCATCCTTGAGGTAGACAACCAGAGATACTCCAATATGCTTTCCCCGCACCTTTCAGTATCACATATTTCAAGTAATAAAACGCCTATTTCCAAACACTGTAGCTATCAATTCCACTTTTGCCTACAGCGTCATCCATACTGTATCATGTCTTGAATAAGCTCTTTTGTCTTACATTTGATGCTTTGCATTCTCAAAGCATATCCGAAAATGAGCTAAATGATGACTGCATCAAACCCTACAATTTAATCACAGAATGTCTGTGTAGTTTTATAGCCAAGTTACATGCCCCTGAGAACAAAGTTTATGCAGAAACACTGGCACTGATAACACTAGTGGATGCAGCTTTATTTTGATGCGATTAGCATAGAAAGCACCTGAAATTATTTATATGTTCTATTTATAATAGATTAACTCTTTGGATATTTTCATAACTATATTCAGAATACATTTGTTAATATCCATTTTGGAAAGATTATATTTACATACAAATACATGAAGACTTGTTGCTAAAAGAGCAAGCAAGAAAGAAAAGATGGTGCCTAATCCTGTGGCTTATGTACACAGGTAGTGCCTTTAAATCAACTCACACGAGTGTGGGTCCCTTGGTTGAGTAAAAGTTCCAAGTTCTGCTCTGTACTGCATATATGATTAAGACAAACTTCTATTTAGACTGTTTTTACAAATACGTTCTACAGTAACTGTGTCTATTGGCTCAGGCTTCCAGCCCTGAGAGAAACACAAAGTCTGTTCCCTGCCTTTTGTAAGATCTACCACGTACGTGGCTGCAGGCAGCTGCCTTTACAGTGCTGCAGGAAAAAACATCCATTCTCTGCCACAGAACACGATCCCTCTGCACCCTGAACTGCATCAGGCCCCTTTGTGAACATCTGCTCTTCCACTGATGGTAAGACTCAGACAAGCAAGTCTTCATGAAAGGATGACGACTTGCTTAAAATACGTAACAAGCTAAAAAACAATTCAAAACAGATTCCAATTTGCCATCCAACCTGTGTTTTTGTATCTATATAGAGATGTTGTTGTCTAAAAAAGAGAGATGATAACATTACATTATCTGTAAAAAAATAAACTTGCACTCACCAGAGTACAGGAGCTTGTTATATTGGATACATTCTTCATCAAACTTGCTCTCTCCTAACACTATGAATACAGTCTTTGCTTGCGACATGTTTGAGAAGATGAGCTAAACGTGTTTACAAGACTTTGACAGGAAAATAGAACTCTTTCCAAACTGCAAGAATATGAATTTTGATAATAATGACAAGATTTTTGTAGGTAAAAAGTGCAAATTCATACGTATTACCTCCAAGCATTTTACACAGCTAGCTACAGGGAACTTCAAAGCATCCTTCATTCTGATGTGATTTACCAGTTGAATAGTACATTTTGACCAAGAGTCATAAAGTAAATTTGACTGCTGCCTCCTGATTGTACAGATGCAAAGAACACCTAGAAAGAAGGGAAAAAAAGGTGGGTTACTGCCAGTTTGCATTTACAACAATGTTTTTACCCATACAGGAAATCTGAGAGAACACCAGAGTCTTAAGTATAGGGATATAGAAATCACAACTCAATTTTGATTCCATGAGGAACTTTTAAAAATGAAACAGGGCTTGTGCTACAGCCAGCATACATCTATGGTATATTTCTACTTGGAAAATCACAAGAACACAGATTAAAACAATCTAAGCAATTTGGGGGACTAGTTTTTCTAAACAGGTTTCAGATAGTATTTATCAAGCACTGTAATACCACATGCAAGAAATGCTACTTGATTATCCATACATATTGTAGTGCCTGCAGTATGGGAGAGTGTTTCGTGGCTTTGTTTTGTTGGTGGTGTGTCAGCCTGTTTGGACCCTGATGGCAGTATGCCATTTCAGCAGCACAGGAGGGGCAGTCCTGTCTTTGGGCATTACCAGAGCTGGCTCCCAGCCAGCCCACTGCACTTGCTTTCCCAAGTCTGCCCAGTTTAAACTGTCTGTATTTGCTATCACCTTCAAAATCAGTGAAAGCTATGTTGAGAGCGGTGGTAACACCACTGGACAAAGCGAGGCTGTGTCCACATGTGGAATATCCACAGTGACTGTCCACATTTGCTTTGGTTGGGAAGGTCATGCTAAGGGAAGAAATAACCGACGTAAATATGCGGTTAAAACATTAAATGGCCTTAGTCTTATAGTTGAGAATTACTTGTTTTTGTTCAATCAACACACTGCAGTCATCTCTGTACCTTGTCATTTCTTTCGCATAGAAATTTTAGCTTCTGCGCTTTCTTGTGCATAAATACTCCTTCCAGATTCCCTGTTTCCACAGAGCGCAGTTCAATCGCCTTCTCTCCCCAGCCCATGACCTGATTAGACTGAAGGTAAGCTATAAGAAGAAAAGAAATGGATTTGGTAAGTTAAAAAATGCCAACAATATACTTGCTTGTTACTATTTGTACACATTCTAATCCCACGTGAGAATTTTTTACAGAGCAGAACCCCAAACACAGCTATAGTCATTCGTGAGAGCTCAATCTACAGCTGGAATACAGCACTAGCTTCAAAAAAGGGATTCGTGCACAAAGACTTTGCTGATATGTTTTGAAGGGCTAAATCCTAGCTTACAATGCAGAGCTTGAAAGGAGACTAGCAGCGGTGCTGTAAAGCCGGAGCTGCTGAGGGTGCAGCAAGGCAAGCCTCTCCCTGGGGATGCTGGCACATTTGTATTTGAAAAGCAATTTTGGACAGAATTTTGAAGTTTTCTAATGGTAAGCTTTCTTAAAATTATTTTTTTCTTTTCTGTAATTCTTAGTATTTCTGATGTCTCCATTCTACCTGTATTATTGCCCTTTGTTTTAACTCCACTATAGAAGAGCAAGCACAGTGCTCCAAGTAACCAAAGGAAGATTCCATCCCCTTCTCTTCAGTTCACTCAAGAGGCTGGAACATTTCTTTCTTTTTCCTACAAACTTTTTTTTTTTTGTACTGCAGATTTGAGAAATGAGGGCTACAGGCTGTGAAAATTAGCTATTTAACAGCTGAAAAACTGATTCTTGCCTTGTTTATATCAATACGGATCTGAACATTTCTGTTTGACAACAATATATTACGGATGATTTTTAAGTTTACACAAAATCTCTTGGGAAGAGCAACTGAATTTCAGTTTCTCAGACTTACTTTGGACTCTACTTTTACCTAAAGTATACATCATTATATATTTTAGAATCACAAAAAGTGGGGAGAAAACTGTGAAGGGCATGTTGTACAACCTCCCATTCAGAGCAGGGCTAAACTAGACAAGGTTACTGAGGATCTTGTCCAGTCATGTTTTGAAGGGTATTTATTTCACAAACTCTCTGTGCCCTTGTTGCAGTGCTTTGTGACACATGTGGTTAAACATACCTAACTGGAATTTCTCTTGCTGCAACCTGTGCTCATTTTGTATCTCATCCTTTCACATCACACGTCCAAGAAAAAATTCAGTTACCTTTCTGGACCCATCCATGAGGAAGTTAGGTATGTATTAGGAATGTACATGTGAACTACTGAGTCTGAGGTAGTCTGAAACCTAAATACTTTCGAATCTGAGACTACAGAATCACAGAATGGCCTGGGTTGGAGGGGACCTCAATGATCATGGAGCTCCAATACCCCTGCCACATGCAGGGCCACCAACCTCCACATTTAATACCAGTCCAGGCTGCCCAGGGCCCCATCCAACCTGGCCTTGAACACCTCCAGGGACGGGGCATCCACAGCCTCTCTGGGCAGCTGTTCCAGCACCTCACCACTCTCTCTGTAAAGAATTTCCCCCTGACATCCAACCTAAATCTCCCTTCCCTCAGCTTAAAACCATTTCCCCTTGTCCTGCAGTTATCTACCCTTTCAAAGAGTTGATTCCCCTCCTGTTTGTAGGCTCCCTTTAGGTACTGAAAGGCTGCAATGAGGTCACCCCACAGCCTTCTTCAGGCTCAACAAACCCAGCTCCCTCAGCCTGTCTTCATAGGGGAGGTGCTCCAGTCCCCTGATCATCTTTGTGGCCCTCCTCTCCAACAGCTCCCTACAGACGTAAGGTGCCATTATTTGGTGCCTTTTAGCTATTGTCTTCCCATCATTTGCTTTTGAAGATATTGCACATAATGCAAGAAGATACTCCAGCACTCTGGAAGCATACTGTGTTATTCCCTTTGAATCTGGCAGTCAGATGAGAAATCAGGATAGCACTGAAGGAGTTAACAACACAGATTTCAAATCAGGCACCGTTTCAATGGAAAACCTCTGACTATCGTATGTATTGGCTTCCACGGTACAAAACACATTATTTATGCTCTAGATAGCCAACGCTCAGAAATTATTCTTGCTCAGCTATGAATTGTTTTCTTATTAGTCTGAAATTTGTGGCACTCTGAAATGGTCTAGATGGAATGCGTACAACTGACTGGTTTTTTAGCTTCAGTGGGTAGTGCCTCCCTGTCCTACATTTTTAATGCAAGCAATCTCTGTTTCTTAAAACCTTGCAATAAGGTGGATTTAGACCATGAAAGTAAAGATGATAAAATACAATACATCTGCTGTTTTTTGCAGCCACTGACACTGTGTTAGCATTTTCAAACATAGCTTTTAAATACAGCAGACACACACGCAGTTTGGCCATGATTCTGGAGGGTGGGACATTAAGGGAGGTGTAAACAATTGTATATATCTAATTGTTTTATATACAATATCCAGTGTGAAGATGTTCTGTGGCTACACAGTTTAGTATGTACATCCAACGTCAGAGGCCTAATCCACTCGTCATTCTTCTTATCCTTTCTACTTTGTGAAATCTGCACTCAAGTTGTCAGTACCCCGTGTCTGTATCAGCTGCATCAGTGCCCTTGGCAGATCACAGAATCCCAGAAT